AAAAAAAAAAAAAAAAAAAAAAAAAAAAAGCCCTTCGCTTGTGGGCAAAAAGTAACAATTATTACCTAACTTAACTGTGGTAATGAGTGCACACGTTATGGCTCCACCCTCTGTCCAATACAGCTTGTGGCTCAACTTTCATCTGCTGTTAAAACTCAGAGTGCCCACAGCTACTTGTGAATAGAAATAGTGGTGATACATTTTGTTAAGCGATCTGGTCTCAGATCTGGGCTGTCCTTCCGAGAAATGCTTTTAGAACAGTTTTTATCCTAAATACAGCAGGTCAGAATTCATCTTCAGGGATGCCTATCTCAACATAGGCTGGTGATATGGTAGGGTACTCTGTACACAAACTCTCAACCAGAACTTCAGACTGAACTTTGTAAATGTTCTATGAAGTTAGGGCAGTAAAAGTAGAAAATGCACCTAACCAGTACACTTGAAAATTGTAAWATCCTCAGGACAGGTTGTAGATGTTGGCTGATAGAGATGCYCATATTTATGACAATATATTTTCAGATTGTTTTCATGTATTGAACTTTAAATAGATTAATAGCWAAGAWTTTTTTCATAAGATACCATAATTTATAGCATGTCAGAGGAGCTTACCCCACATCCAGCAAGGAGGCTTCTTGTGGTTTTTCAAGCAGCTTTGGCTTAGATTTTAAACCTCTCAGGTCTGTACCAAAAAGGTGTGGTTTGTGATTACAAGTAGCTAAGCCACTGTCCTTCAGGTGATAGCCTGCCTGATTGGAAAATACCACATGTTTGCTTAAGTCACAGGAAGCTAAGGTCACACTGAGGTTTGCATGGCTGAAGTGGTGAATGCCACTGCCCTGGTTCCTGTCCACGTTTTTGCAGGTTTTTGTGTATACAGTTATARCAGGTGACTGCAGAAATACATCTGTGCTGAAGTTACAAGTTTACAGACCAGCACCTCAGAGTAAACTGAATTTGCAGCAGTTTACAATCTGTCAGGCTCGGCTGATGGACATAACCTGAGTGCTTTGGATTATATATTTATTACTTCATTTTCTTGCAAGATTCACTGCCCATAACATCTGCTTTATATTTGATCAAGTCTTACTAAGAAGATGAATGATTGTCATCTCATTAGGACTTCTCTATACATTTCCCTTTACCTTCTCTTTGTTTCCCCAATTCTCTTTCCTTTGAAGAGAAGAACCTGTCTCATCCTTCCCTACCACTGGCACTTTKTCAGGTGTTTTCCTGTTCTTGCCTAACAGTGCTTTCTGTAAAGCTGTGCTGGTTTCCAACTGCCCATTTCTCSTGGTCAGATCCCTCTCAATCTCTCATCCTGGCAATTCCAAACAGCAGGCCCCAATAGGCAGGGCTCTCTGTGATTCCCAGTTGCCCCATGTTAATAGCTGTTTGATTAAACCTTTTGAGTCCCACATCCAAGAGCCGGGTAACAATGTTGTAGACTGGTTAAGCAGCCTGGTTTGAGAACTGTGACTGGCCTAACTAACRAARTCATTCTTTACAYATCCAGACATCAAGGACTRAGAAACTTGAGAATATGGGTTGTGGTTATTTTTTGTCTCACCAGGCCCCATCATGCCACAGGTAATTTTAAAGAATTCCTCTGGGCTATGACTTGGTCTTGCTTTTCACTCTTCACTCAAAGCCTGTGGTTAATCAAAGAAATACCTTCACTGGGYGGTAATTCTCCTTACAYGACACATTTACTSCTGAGRAAAAAAAACTATCATTGTTTGCCATTTTTTAATCCTGTAATTGCTATGTTTATTCATGGTGTTGACTGAAATTCCACTGAATTTTACTTGTACATTGGCTTTCTGATCTTGGGTCTAATTCTGTTGTTCTATCRAATTTCCAGTTTATGCCAAGCCCCGCCCTTGCTGTCCATACCAATTTTGTGCTATACCTGTCTTCATTACCTCCTTCTCTTTTTTGGTCATCCTCTCTATTTCCTCATTATTTCCCATGTGTTGATTTTTCTAGTTTCTCTTCTAAAAAAATGAAAAAAGGAGGAGAGGAACAACATATCATTCACTGCCTTGAAACCTGATGTAATTTATCTGTTTCCCACATCCTATGCCTGTCTTGTCTGAGTTGATTTGTAAACAGGTCACAGACTGCCTACTCTATACCAAACACCATGACATAGGAAGCTTCTGTCCAAGTCTGCACAGCATAAATAAATACTTTTTATTAATAATAATTACTATGCAAGTAATCCCTAGATTTTAATGGATGTAAGGGCACAAAATAAKAATGGCAAAATGGATTCCTTGAGGTACATGGAATTAAGCTGAATAGAAAATGCCTTTAAGGAGGCATTGACAATWTATCTTCCAAAAAAGCCTTATTTAACCAATTGCCTCTTTTAATCTGTTACATAAAAGATTTTTATTGGTTTATTCATACATTCATTTTTTCGTTGTGGTAGGATCACAGTGACTACTTATCTCTGAGCTAGGTGGCCTCAGGGATAATCCAAGCCAGTATTATGTTAAACATTGCGTAGAACAATGAAGCAGCATGTSCAAGTGTTTCTGCTCTAAAGTTTAGGTGAAAGCCTAACATCTATATGTAGTATTTATAAAGAATGTCTGTACATAGATGAGGAAGAGCTTTATAGGAAATAAGTTGTCGGCCCCAACCTCTATAGGTGTTCAACAGGAGCTCATCTTGAGCAACAAGGTGGGATAAAGCAGAAGGGTGTTTATTTGAAAAGGCAATGTTGGAATTCAGTTGTAGGGCTGGCAGGAAACTGGAGATGTCTTTACAGAATGAAACAAAAGGTACRTTGGGAGGTTGAGCTGTGAGCTTTGAAGGAAGGGAGGAAAGTCAAGGACAGTGCTCACCACTGGTCCTGCAGAAAAACGAAAGAAACACAAGGGAAGGGACTGACAAATCAAGCTGAAACAGTGACTGCAGAAGCAAAAAGTAAGCTAGGACACAAGCTAGATATGCTAAAYGTGACTGAAGGGCAAACGAGGTTGGTTTAAGATGGATTGAGAAGCTTTCAGATGATGAGAGCAAGCAAAACCAAGTTTGAAGGGGATTTAGGGTAGAACCTGCCAAGAGACATGACTGGAAGAACCTGTGAGGTGACAAGAGGCACTTATACTAAAGGCTTTTCTTCTTCTTCTCTTTTTTCTTCTTTTTTTTTAATGGTAAATGAGACAAGCATATCTTTATGGGTGCTAGGAATTAGAGCAGACTGAACGACTAAAGCTGTGAACAAATGAAGTAAGTGTTGGGAAGATCAGGAAATTAAATGAGGTGAAGTTATCGGGGCAAATGATGCATTTACAGAAGACATGTTGATAAGCTTTTTRTTATTGCCACTTAAGAGACTTGTAGATAGAAGGAGCATGAAGAGAATATTTTATCACTTTCATCATTAAAGAAAATTGTGAGATAACAAGTAGAGGAAAACAGCCAGGAAGGCTTCATAAGGGTTAAACAGCACCAATGAGAAGCACGCTGGGATTACAGGCGTGCAGATGAGCTGCAGAAGKAGAATTGTTCAGTTGTGAGAAGGCAGAAATGGAGAGAGCAGGCGTGTGGGAGAGGAAGTTGGCTTGATCACAGGATTTCCGTCAGAGACACTTTGCACTGCAAGAGCAAGCATGGATGGAGCAAACAGTGAAGGTAAGCTGGTGCTGTGGGTAGGTATGACAGTTCAATATGAAAAGAAAGAAAGAAGAAAAGAAAGAAAAAAAAGAGCCTGTGGTGGATGAAAKTTGTATGTGTGGTAAATACACAGTTACRACATTGCTACTGAAGCARACACATTTTTCTCAACATTAAAATGCAAATGAAGCTAAAGGATGTGCAAGTTTCATTTTTAGTCAATGCTACTAGTTGGTATTATTTCTTTACCGTTTTTTTCCCACTTACTTTCATCATTTTGCTTTTCCTTTTTACCAGTCTACAAGACATTAGTTTTTGCACCTTCTTGCACTATCAGGGTACAAAGCTCTGAAATAATATTTCCCCTTAAAAAGACCTTACTTGTCTGGTGTTGCTAGGATGTAAATGCACCTGCAGCCACAATCTTTTGCTGTTGTCATATTCCATGCCAGCTAAAAATAAGTGAGACAACTAAGACTTGTTAAACCGCTTAACAGATAAGATACAGCAGCCAGGCTATGCCCTGAGAAGTGTTCAGGACCACAATGGTTCATTGCATTGTAATTATAATTTTACTTTTTTTCTATTTCTTTTCCTAAAAACACAGAAGATGCCTACAGAAGTTAGGGAGGATGCCTCACACCAGACTTTTAGTTACCAGAAATACTATTTCAAGCACTATAAAGATAATAAGCATCGTATAATGTTATCAACACATTGTTTTATGGTCAGGTTCATGGRATCCAAAGCTTTAGAAGAAACCTTTGAGATTCTACTACTGTAGAATGGCTTTGTTCGGGAGCACATAATGTCATTTTCTCTTGACATGTKGGGCCACTTTAAATTTGTGCGTCTGCATTATTAAACCATCGTGGGAAGTGCAGCAGGAGGAAACCCGGGTAATTGGCTGCAGCTCCAGATGCAGCCGCTCGCTCATTGGAGAGCGGAGGATTCTCCCAGTACTAAAATTAGACCATCTCCGCCCTCCAGAAATGCTTCTGGAAACAGTGAGCGAGAAATTGTGACACAGCCCCAGGGCCGGCGGTGGGCAGGGAGGTGCACAGGGCCCTGCTCCCGGCCAAACTGCAGCCTCTCGGGGGAYACGGAAAGGTGGTTTGGAGGTTATGTCCTGGGCAGCTGAAAAAAGAATGCACACRATAAAGAAATTGCAAGAGATTCATGTTAACAGTGTTTCACACAGATATTAAATTCAACATTTCTTATGTAATAATAGTTCTGAAGTGTTCAGAATGCAGGCAGAGGAAGCCTTTGAACTGCTAAATTTAAGCAAGGGCTGTCAGACTTGTGCTCATTGACTTTGAAAAGAAATGACTTGCTGAATTAACTGCACTAAACTAAAAAAAAAACTGGTGAACTCTTTCTATCAGCATTTTTTAAAAATAAAACATGTTTATCCATTATCTTTGTGAAGCTGCAGTGTTTACAGTGTCTTCAAATTAAATATTGGATAAGGTACTTTTATTAAAGAAACAAATGCCATGTGCCTGTGTTGGTGAAGGAAAGCCTGTATCTGAATTTGTCTTGTGCACTTGGAAGCTTTATTTTTTAAGGTATGTGAATAACAACTTCAATTTTAGGGTTTTAAATACATTTCAAGCTGGCTGCAAGGAAATAATTGCACAGTTTTGTTTCTTGTTTCTATTTTTATATTATTCACATTACTCATGAAAGAGGTTAAGGCAAAGTGGCTTTYCTTACAGTAAAACCAGCTTTTGCTGTAAATTTGCTATTTCCTCAGCTAACCAGAGCACAGAGTGCCAGCACCTCCAGCTCCAAACATTGGGGGTTTTATTTGTTTTTTTCTGCTTTGCATTTACTTTCAGTCTGACATCATTAAAATTTAAAGCCAGCACACCTACGGTTTCTCTCTGTCCCTTTGTCAGCCTCACCTCAAGGGGTCGAGTGCAATGGCCAGTTTTGGCTGAAGTCACCAGCAGGCCCCAGGTGCTGCAGCACCTCGGGTCCCCCAGTTTTTGAGAACACGAGGGGACAGGGGCAGGGAGAGAGCAGCAGGGAGAGGAGCAGGGCGAGGAGCAGCTCGGCAGTTATCGGGCCGCTCGCAGCCCACACCCCGATAGCGCGGATCCAGCTGGCCCGGGGCCATCCCGCAGCGCCGGTAAACAAGGCCGGGAGGTGACAGCGGGGCACCCCACCATGGACCGCGATGGATGGACAATGGCTGTACTGCAGTTCCTCCCAGCTGAGTGTCCCCAGGGAGATGGGGAAGTAGGGAATGTGCAGGGAGCAAAAATATGGCACCGTGAGGGTAAAATGTGGRGGAAATCCCCAGAGAATGCCGCTCCCCAGCTCTAAGGCCGASCTCATCATGGTTTAATGCACCAAACAGAGAAGGTTTCCTACTCGTTACATTTTTTTGTCACGAAAGTGGCACGGGGTAGACTGCAATTCCCAGGCAGAGCTGAGAATCACCATTAGACAGTTGTAAATTGCGGTCAGTGCTCCGGGTGTGCCGGGAGCTCCCGCGCCGCCGCTGCTGCTCAGGCGCCTCCACAGGAAACCTCCCCACAAAAGCTGATAAAGAACCTGGGTAGGGCTGCTGTGTTTGYCTTTTCCCCCCCGCCAATAAACTGCGTTACCTCGCTTCACGAGAGTTTGCGGTGAGCTCATGGCTCCCTCAGCAGTTCTGAGCGTGAGGTGAAACCGACAGAAAGCTTTTATTGTCAGGGAGGAACGAGGTTATTGAGATGAGCCCCCGAGATCMCGCCGCTCCCCCCTTGACTCCCGCACCGCACACGGAGCCCATCCCGGGGCAGTCGCGAACCCGGTTAATCACGGAACCCGCGGCGGGCCCGGGCTGTGAGGCGCGCTCCGCCCTCGCCGCCATCACCACACCGCTCCCGGCCGCCATCTTCATCCCGCCCCGCCGAGGCCCGCGGGCGCCATCTTGTGCCCGGGGCTGAGCCCGCCATCGCCCGGCAACGGCGGCGGATCGGCCGAGTGCCCGAGGCTGCAGTACAGAACCCGGCCCCGGCCCCGAGGCAGGTGGAGTGGGTGACCCGCGGGCTTTGCGGCATAGAACAGGTGTTTGCAGCCAGGGAGAGTCTGCGTGCCTGCGTCTGGTCAGGGCGGATGGTGTGAGCCAGGGCTGAGAGCSTAGGGACACGGCGGGCAGTGGGCGAGGGAAGGGCAGCAGGTGCCATTGTGTGAGTTCTGTGAGGCTCTGACACGRCCCCCCCGCAGCATCCTGCTCTTGCAATTCTCTCTAAACAGTTGAGAGAGCTGGGGGTGTTCAGCCTGGAGAAGAGAAGGTTCCATGGRGACCTTASACCCCMTYYCAGTGCCTAAAGGGGCTCCAAAAGAGCTGGATAGGGACTTAGGACAAAGGCAGAGAGAGGTAGGAAAAGGGTGAATGGCATCCCACTGACAAATGACAGGGTTAGATGGGATATTGGGCAGCAGTTCTTGGCTGTGAGGGTGATGAGACCCTGGTGCAGGTCTCCCATAGAGGAAAGAGAGGCTGCCCCATCCCTGGAACTGTTCAACGCCAGGTTTGGATGGAGCTTGAAGTATCCTGGGATAGTGGAAGGTGTCCCTGCCCATGGCAGGTGGAACTGGATGGTCTTTGAGGTCCTTCCAACCCAAACGATTCTGTGATGAAAAGAAAGTCACAATTAGTCACAAGCCTGTAGGAAACCCCGTCACTGGTTGTGAGAGCACTCACAACACAGTTCTGTGCTCTCAAATTGCCAGTGCATCTGCTCAGTCAGAAAAYMAGCACTTTGTCTGGAGCCCATGAAWASAGGAATTAAGTAACTATTGAGCTAAAACTTACAGGTTGACTAGCTGTTTCAAGTTGTAAGTCCCACACCACAATCTTGATATGTGAGWATACAGATTTGGGATTTGAAGGAACCCATAGTTGGTGGATGGAGGGTGTGGGAGTACAGGGAMCCCACATCAAGTTGTGTGATAATGCCTCTCTTTCCTCATACATTGTCTAACTCAGTAAGTAACATTATATTTTTGGCTTATTTTCTACGCAATGCCACTGCACTGAAAATGGGAATGTGAACTACAAGTTGCTAATGAGTGCAGAGAATATCTCGTGTAGATTTTGTGAGTGGGGTGACCCTCTGTTCCTGGAGTGGGTGYGAGTGTCACCCTAGGTAGACAAACTCCAAATGTCATGAACTGGTGTCATTGCAGTACGAAAGGGACACCTGAATTCTAACTYAAAAGTCAGGATGGAGGCCATAATGCCTGAACCTCAGATTTATGTGGAAAGAACTCTGGCTATCATCAAACCAGATGTCATCGATAAAGAAGAAGAAATAGAGCATGTCATTCTCCGGTCAGGATTCCACATCATTCAGGTAACAGGCTGTGCTCCAGCGAAAATAACTGTAGTTTATAAATCAGGAGAATATTTAACTTCTAGCAATCAAGCCAGAAACTAAGAGTTTATGTATCCAAAAATTGATTTGTGTTTTTCTTACATCATCAAACATTGCTTCCAGATTCTGTAAGGAGATGCTTTTTGGTGCATGGGATGGAACAGGGAAGACCTACTATTTTGCTGACTTCAGGAAAATACAGACTTTGTTAATAAACTCAGATTTACCAAACATACGGAGCAGATGTGTGAACTTTCCAAAGTGACTCTGTGGAGAGTGCATCGTTCAGGGTTAGGGTTCAACTGAATATTAGAGAATTAATTTAGTTCAATACCTGATGCAACCTGACTAATTTTCAGTTTCACTTTTTTTGGCAGTAAATGGACTTTATGAATATTGAAATAAGCTTATGAATATTCAAATATACCGGACCGGGCGGCCGCTGGGGGGCGCTGCGCCCTCGCTCCTGCRGGCGGGGAGGCCCCTCCCCCTCCTCCCCGCATTGTTTTATTTGGTTTGGCTTTTTTCATTTCTTTCCTCACCTTTCTGGTTGTTTTATTTATTTGTATTTATTATTTGCATTTATTTATTTATTCATCTCTTGGAGCTACTCCAGAGGAGGTAATGAAGATGCTCCACAGGCAGGAGCCCTTCTGCTCCAGAGCCAGGCTGGGAGAGCTGGGGGTGTTCAGCCTGGAGAAGAAAAGTTTCCAGGCTGACCTTAGAGCCCCATCCAGTGCTTAAAGGGGCTCCAAGAGAACTGGAGGGGACTTWAAACAAGAACATGGRGTGGCAGGACAAGGGGGAATGGTTTCCCACTGACARAAGGCAGGGTTAGAATGGATATTGGGAAGAAATTCATCACCATGAGGGGTGGTAAGGCCCTGYACAGATTGCCCTGAGAAGCTGTGGATGCCCCATCCCTGGAAGGGTTCAAGGCCAGGTTTGGGGTTTGAGCAACCTGATCTAKTGCAAGGTGTCCCCATGGCAGGGGGTTTGAAACAAGATGATTTTTTAAGAYGTCTTTCAAACCACACCATTSCATGTTTCTGTTGATTCARTATATATCAGAAGATGAGACAAAATAGATTGTTTATTTAATTACAATATGTTAGTTGAGTCTTCTGATGTCTGCAGTCACTTTGACACCAAAGTTATTAGGACTCTAAGTATACAGTACTCTTGTGTTGTATAAATTTGAGCTCAAAGAATGCACTTTGAAAACTTTATTGTCTGCCCTGTGGTTTCTGATAAGCTCCCCAAATTGTTCTGATCCTGGCCACCTGCAGGCTAGGCAGCTATTGGGAGAGTCACAAAGCACTGAATGAAAGRTAGAACAATTGTATAATTAACAGTGTGGGCTGGAGAGAAACTTGTTTAAAAGTAGAACATTATGCTGTAGCAGCTGAGTAATAAAATCCTGCCTTTGTAATACTCTTCATTTTTTCTGTACAGTGCTCTGTCATCCAGCAGTTAGAAAATTCTCTAGTTTGCCTGCGCTAAAATCACATCTTACTTAAATGGGCTGTTTGCTTAATCAACTTGGAAAACTTGCTCTTTGTTACTGTGTTTCACCAAGAGGATCAGATTTGGGAGACTCAGATTAGTTTCAGAAGTTACTCTGTGTTCTGCACTTGAAAATATGACTGCAGCAGAAGTACTGTATCCTGCCTTTTATGCTCTGAGCTATTTCAATGTAGCAAGCTATTTAAATTATTTTTTTGTCTTTTACACTTTATAGAAACGGAAGCTCCAGTTAAGCCCAGAGCAATGTAGCAACTTCTACGCAGAACAATTTGGAAAAGTGTTTTTYCCCAATTTAACAGCCTATATGAGTTCTGGCCCTATAGTTGCTATGGTTCTTGCTAGAAATCATGCAGTCTCATACTGGAAGGAATTGCTTGGACCATCCAACAGCCTAAGAGCTAGGATAACTCATCCTCACAGGTAASTCACTGACTGGCTTTGGGCAAGTCAGTAAGATTTTGTCATTCTCTTTTCTGAGATCAGAATTTTTTTTTTGTAAGTTTTTGCTTGTACAGTACAGACACAGGCTTCTTATCTCTTCAGGTTTGTGTAACAGCTTTTCACCATTGTTTTTTAGTATGCAGAATTCACCTATTTTAYAGGGAACGCTGAGTGCACAAACTTAGTTTTAGGTAGCTACTTCTTATGTTTAAAAGACAATCAAGCCAACATCTCGTTAGTTAGTTCATATCTATTGCTCTTCTGTACTCTAAGGCTGCAGAGAATTGGAAGGGATTTGCAGTTGCCCTCCAAGCAGTTATTTTCCTTTGTTTTTAGCTTAAGAGCACTCTATGGGACTGATGAGCTGAGGAATGGGCTTCACGGCAGTCTCAGCATCTCCTCAGCAGAGAAAGAAATTCGATTCATATTCCCAGAAGGTAAAATGGTATAGTTGGTTCATTGCCAGTCGTGGGGAGGATAGAGTTCTTTCCTGTTCTTCCCTGGTATTACTTGCCCAGACTCCAGATACAATTGATTTAGAAGAGGTTGGGTTTGTTTGCTTTATAGGGTTGTGGATCTCTTTATAAGCTGCCATTTTCTGCTATGAAAGGCTTACCAAAAATCTATCTGAAGAGCCAGTGCAGTTACAGAAATTGCTTCCACTTTTCAAACTCTGCTCTGGGARCTGTAGCAGACAAAGCTGGTAAATGAGAGGATATAGGAAACTATTACACTCCAGCGAGTTTTTCTGGCACTGTCAGCCCTGGAGACTCCTGTTGACGTGAGAAGACTGACTCTCTTCTTGGATTCCAGCTGAGTAATTCCTATTCAAAAGCAGCTGGATGCTCACATGATAGTGCAATTCCAAAGTAAGGTGCCAGAAAAAAGGGGCTGAGAACCTGGAAAGGCTGCCAGAGGATCCCTGTTTATAATGTAACAGGATTTGTCTTTTCACCAAAAGGTGCAAGTGAAACTGCTAGAAAAAGGCGTGTACTGATAATTTTTGTCAGCTCTATCAGTGAGTTTAATCAGACATGTTGCACTTCTGTGCCAACCTTACCCATTGTAAACCATGTCTCTTCTCCTCACCCTGACAACAAAGCAAGACTAAAGGTGAGATTTTTAGGGTCTTCAGAAACCAGCTTCAGACTGCAAGAAGAAAAGTGCTGAACATGGGATATATTGTTTCCTTCTGCCCCAAATGCATCTTCAAGGATAGAGGTTTTCCCCAGATGATCTGATTTCCCCCTATTTTGTAGTAGACTGTAATTAGTAAAATTACCTCAGGGACATTTTAAAGAAGTTTAGGGAGTTTCTTTGCAGTTTGTTGTGGGAGAAGCTATAAAACCAATGATGTATTATTAACTTATTAAGGAAAAGAGCAGCTCACATATAAACAACCTTTGAAAGAATGCTGGGTTTAATCACTCTACAGGTTGCTTTCTAACACCTGTGGTTCTTCCTTACAGCAATCTTGGAACCTGTTCCCACTGGGCAAAGAGCTCGGGATTACCTGAACCTGTACGTGAAACCCACGCTGCTGGCCGGGCTCACTGCCCTGTACAAAGAGAAGCCAGCAGACCCCATGGTATGTGCAGTGCTGTCAGCTSTGGGATGCAGTTACCTGGTGTTAGTAAAGTCTCTTTTTATAGGAGAACTACTCWGCTGTTGAAGAGCTGTGCTGTTTTAGCTGTCAACTAATGAGCTACTCAAATAACRTTTGCTTTCAAGAAGTTGATTTGTTTGTTAGAGATGAAGCAAGGGTATGTTTWCAATCCCTCAACAAAATCAATTTTCTTACATCTGGAAAAACATGGTAAATGTTTTTGTGTCTTAGTTCCAGTCATTCATACTAGTACTTCTGTAAGCATGCAGATAATTAATCCATGTGACAACTTGCTGGCAGTCGTGGTGGATTTTATCATCATTATCATTGCATTTTTCTAAAGGATACATTTCAGGAAAAAAAAAAGCCTTAAAAATCACTTGGGGTGTTCCTGTGAGCTATGTRTTATACATGAGGTCACATTTAAGATACTTTGATTGTTCCAGCTTTATAATTTGTTTACTTTATCTGTATGTCTGGCACTRTTACCATAGAAATCTAGAAAACAGAAATGAAGTCCATTCCTTTGCCCAAAGGCCAAACCGATTGTATCTGTTCCTAACCAATGTGTGTCTGGCCTGTGGTTTAGTACTCCAAATGATGGAGAATCTACAGTCTCCCTAGGCAATCGGTTTCAGTGCTTAATTATACTTGTTAAAAGCTTTCACTAAAAGATAGCCTAAATCTCCTGGCTCCAATTTTAAGCCCATTACCTTTTTTTTTCCCTCCTCTTTTATTATCCCCAGAAGACAGTGGAGACAATGTAATATCTCCCTTTTTTTGCAGCAACCTATTGTATATTTGAGGAGTATTCCCATCTTCTTTCCCTTCAGTCATCTATTCACTATATTAAATACTGATTTTTTTCTTGTTACAAGTCCCATTTCTCTAACTCATTGTTTTGGCTTCCAGTTAATCTACATTCTTAGCACAATTTTCTAGTCAATTATGTGGTATYTAACAGTAACTTCATTGAGACAGCGCTTTCCTTCCTTGCTCATAAGAAAGCTATATGAAGCRATGTCAATAACTTTGCCAAAAACATTCTATTTGTACCTTCTTTGTTGTCCATAATGTTTGTGACCTTGTAAAAGAAGGAAAATAATGTTGATTTGATAGTGCTTCACAAAGAGATACTGCCTATTGCTTTTCAGTTTGTTATCTGCTAGGTGCCTTACAGKGAGAGTGTTGGAATGTTTTGTTTTTTCCAGGTTGTTTTTTTTTTGTTCTTCTTCTTTCCTTTCCTTTTGGAAATGGCATCAGAAAGCGTCTGTCAATTCAGAAATACTTGCTGTCAGCACAGAGATTGTCTCAGCCAATTCCTGAAGTAATACAGGATAAAATTATTTGGCTTCAAATGATTTTAGGATTTCTTTTTTTCCCAAAGTAGTTCTTCTAAGGGCTTTTGTGTTTTGGGATATTTTGTTYGTTTGTTTTCCATTTCTGTCTTGGATTCTTCCAACTGCTCCATTCTTGCTGGCTTTACCTGTCCTGGTGCTCTGCTTGGCTCTCTCTTTGCAAACCACCCTTTTTGCTTGTGGTAGTAAAAGGAGAGTGTTGCTTGCCTTCTCTGTCTGCTGTTCTGTCAGTTCTTCACTTCACAGTGTGGTATGAAGTTTTTTTGTATTCAGCATTCTAGAAACTAATTGTCAACAGCCTTGGGAAGTAAATAAGGATGTGTTAAAAACTTTGCTTTACAAGTGGAGAAATCGAGGCAAAAGGTTAATTTGCTTAAGGCCAGGCCCAGRCTGGCAGATGGAATTAGGACTCAAGGCATTCCTGCCTCCCACATTCTCATTTAAGTGYGATGTTCTGGAAAACTTAGAAGATGGATTTCAAAAAGTAACCATGTTTTGGTTTGAAGTTTTAGAAACTGTAAGGTGATTTCAGTACAGAAGGCTAGAACTTGTAATGAATGATTACTGGATGAAGTRTCTCTAAGTGCTGTCAGCAGTAATACTTCATTAAGCAGTTTCATGCATATAGTGCAGCCTCATTCCAAAACAGAACTGACTGAATTATTTGAAGTATGGCTCAAATGTTCTTACCCTTTCACAAAGATAAACATTGCCAGGACAAGTCTTCTAAAGGTCAGTGTGAATTGTTCAAAAGCAATATAAACTGTGAAGGTTTAAAAGAACATTTTTAAAAAAACAGGTCATCTGTATGTCCATTTTTTTCTGAAAAGTCTTAATTTTGCAGCACAGTAGGAGAGTATCTCTGGAAGAGGTTTCAAATAATGCTTTTGATAKTCTTCTATACACTTAATAGAAAGTAACAGAAAGCTGAAAACATTTKGGTTTTTTGTTCACAGATTTGGCTTGCTGACTGGCTGATTGAACACAATCCTAATAAACCTAAACTACAATATCGTGTCTCTGAGGAAGGGCATCAGCAGTGAGAGGCTTGGTGGACATCATCTCAAGCATTCCAGTTTACAGATGTGTATTTCGTCTCTGGTGTATCCTTTGACKGTATAACCAATACTGTGTGAAGTAAATGCACTTGTCATAACTATTTGTGTCTTCATGGGATAAATAACCTTACATTTAACCATGTTGTAGTGGTTCTAGTACCTTCTCTACTGACAAAGTGAATGTAGATTGACATGGTAAGTTTATGGCATTGGGTGATTAGAAAAAGGSAATGTTCTCAGTGGGTGTGACTTACTGTTTTTTCCCCCATTTTGCTTGGTTTGGCTGTGTGGGAGTGCAAAGTCACTTAGAGCAGTGTGGATTCCCGAACAACATCCACCTGGCCTGTGCTTTGTGRAGCCAAGAGTTGTGTTTCAGCTATTTTTTAGCAGACATAAATTCAGTTATGAAGGRAGKTATGTGGATATAATGTARAAAATAATTRCTGGAGGCATATTAGCAACTTTGAAATTTTAATTGCTGATTACGTCACCCAGGCAAGGTTGCTCTTGAAGATGATTCACTTGAGTCTGATGTATTTTGTCAGAAYGTAATTTGAAGGACTTATTTGAAGATACATTGAATGCACCTCTCCCATCTTGGTGGCAAAAAGCTCAGTGAATATAAATCACAAGAAGATGGATTTTAGTCAAGGGCCAAGGTTGTCTTGTAGCATTTTTTTGCAAGAATGGTGCTTAATTGGAACAGCTGACCTTACGAGTGTTTCCTGTGTTATCCTGCTACTAAAGGAATGCAGATTTCTGTTGTTTTCCTCAAACTTTCAAGGGTTCTGGTGAAGAATTTCAAGAGAGTGCTCTTCCACTGACAACAGGTTAATCCCATGCTACTGCCTTTTATGACGTAACTAATTTTTTTGGGGGGGATGTGGGGCTTTTTAAATTTCTTCAAAGAGCTGTACTTATGCTGTTAACTTCAAGTTTTGTATCTTATGGTTTGACTGGCTAGAATGAAGAAAACTGTAATTTTCATAACTCTGAAATATGAGTATGCTTGACTAATKCTAAACAAACAAGCAATTTCATAATTTGTTTCATGAAAAAACTTGCTTCCCCAATTTGAGTAATTATGAGAAACATAAGTCATTTGTCTGTAACATCAAACCTTGTTTAAGTGAATTGTTTATCCTCTCAGTGGAACAAACCACTATTGCCAGCCCAAATAATAAACATTTAGAAACTGGTCCCTACAGTATCAAGACCTAAAATCTTGGGACTTCTAAGATAAGGAAAAAAAAAGAAAGCCTAAACACTCAAATAATAAAGAATAAAAATATGAGGTGGTTAGAAATACAGTAAACAGATCTGTTTACAACCAGTTTATTTTGCCTATAATTATTGTCCCCATATGTGTCTGATTGCTCCCAGTACAGGATGGTTGTGCTTTGTGGTTTCCTGTCAGCCAAATAAAAAAATCCATTTTCTGAAGATGCCAGAAATTCAAATTCTGTGAATTCACAACACATTTCCCTATATTTTGTTAGTTACTATGACAGTTGCTTGCTTATTTTGATGTGATACTGCTGGACAATAAATACATCCTTTATGTTACTGCTGAAATTGTCTGTTTTGCTTTTGTGCCAGAGCTGTTATGTTGGATGAGAGTTGGTGGTGGGTCCTTACTGGGGGATGGAAGAGAGGACAAAGGCAGCTGATGTTGTAAATGTCATCTTTATCACTCAGACAATATAAACTCTCAGTCATTCAGGTGTTCATCTATGGTGGAGTTATTCTCTGATGTTGSAGCTAACACCTTCAATTGCTGATGTTTGTTTCCCTTTTTCCAAAGARAAGGTGGAAAGAGAGAAGTTGCCTTCATTCCATGGGTGCCATCCTGACTCACTGTATCCATACACACAGGGCAAGTACTGATCCAGCTGAGATCCTGAGGAGCCAGCAGTTATAAGTGGATGTGAGCAGAGGGGCAGTCCTGGGATGTGAAATGGCCAAGCAGCCTGGTCCCGTGGGGGAGCTGTGACACCACAGGAGAGACTGTTGAGGCACATGCTGCTACATTTCTTATGGTCTTTGGGTTTTTATGTAGCCCAGAGTGAGACAGGCTTGGCCAGGGTTATAAATSCATAGCACAGAAAATGTAGCTTTAGAAAAAAAATCCCAGATTAACTGAAAGATGTCTTTCCATTCGATGTCATCAAGGTGAGATATTCTCTGTGGGAATGAGTAACCTGTCTTCTCCCTCTGTCAAGTCAAAATAATTGCCTTGCCTATTGAGTTTTATTGGGCATTTTTAACTTTGACATTTTAGTTTTACTGCCTGAGTGCTGGAATAGAGCTATGTCCATAAAATGTTCAGTCTGTTTCCCATAATTCTGTTTGTCCAACAGACTTCCTCCTGGAACTTTGCTTATCATATGCTTGCTCTCGCCTGCCCTGGAAGTTGGAAGTATACAGATTGAGCTACTCTTGAAGTATGTGRCTGTTCAGCCTTCCTGTCTCATAAGGGATTTATTATCTTCAGGARTACTTAAACTGCCAGGAACCTTGGACATACTTTAAAGATGTCAGAAGCCTCAGTTAAAGGCAGTTTCCCTTTGCCTGCATCTGTCAGAGCGTTCCAGTGTGCCAAGCTTCAGAAATGAGTCACTGGTCAGAGCTTTGGGGCTATCATTCAAAATGTTTAAGATTGTTTCATGAAGATTTACAAACCTTCATTTTTTTTGTGTAGGAAAAGAAGAGAAGATTTGTGTTTCTTCCTTCATTTAAGCTATTAATCTTGGCCATCCTTTAAAGAACAGTTGATGAGGGTCAGTGTTGATTTTAATTCATTCAGTTAGAGTAGTCATCAACATAATTTGTGTTGTTCTGCACAATAAATGGCCATTTTCGGTGCTACCCAACAACTCATCCTCTGAAAATACTGTGGCTCTTYGATTTCCCTTAAAAAAACAAAATTGGAGGAGAAATTAGTTCTATTTTGTTGGAAACTGCACATCGTTAAGAGATAACTTGCAATTGTTTTTGCAGTACTATCCTTTCAGTAGATTTGTCCTTGGACTACAAATAGGACTTCAGTCCTCTCTACTCATTACCTTCTGCTCTGTTTCACTCTCACAGACTTGGCTCCAACCAGCATGGCAATGCCACCAGGACCATCACAKCAAATAGGTACTTTCTAGTTCTGCTGTTGGTGAAACAGGAAAACCTGCTGCTTTAGGATGGTCAATCATGAGCAGCTGCCTGCACCTAGGAATCTCCCCTGGTGTGGATGAGCTCCTCTGGGTGTGGAGTGTGTCAGCAGCGTGACTGATGTGTGGAGTCTCCTTGGGAGGATGCCTGTCAGATCATTGTCATGCTGCCTCCTGCCAAGTGATCRTGGAGACACTGCCAAAGCTCAGGGGAGGGCTTTTTGTTGGTCTTCTGAGCCAGAAATGAGGTATTGTTGTGAGACGAAGCAGTTGGTGGGAGAAGAAGGCAGTTTGCAGACAAGTGGGTGAATGATACTCTAATAATGGTAACACTGAAGGATTGAGAATTCAGTTCAYTGCTTGTGAGTGTTTTAGGGCTGAGGGAGTGATGCTTCCACAAAAGATCTGTGTGTTGTGCCTTGCTGGGTGTGCTTATATTTGTCTTGTATGGCATCAGTTTTTGTTCCCCAAGAACTCCTTCCTAACTCATCTTGCTTATCTGTGCTGCTATTCTGAAGCATGATTATTAAAAAAAAACCCCAAAACACAACTCTGGTACCATATCTGCAACTTCGTTACCATTATATTTAATTGAAAAGCCTTTTCACCTGGGATCTGAGTCAGCCTGGATGGATCTTCTGTTTGGCCAGAGAGAAAAGGCAGTTGGGTGCAGTCTGTCAGCTGCAGATTGCCTGAGGAAGGAATCACATATGAACTCACCCTAAATTCCAGGGAATTTTTTATGTGCAAGTCCCCAGTGTGGCTCTAAATACTCTTGGCTTTAGTAAACTACCCTACAAACCACTCCTGCTTCTTTATCATCTCTTTATAATCAATGCATAAGCTCTCATTTCCTTGCAAGGGGACAGTTGTGGTTTTGTTGTCTTTCCAGAATCTGCACTGATTGTCAGGTTAGGAAATTCTGCATTTCCAACATCTTAYTGCTATGCTGGCTGGTGTTTCTTATCTCTCTTAGGTGTTGTAAAGCGTTTTCTTACTGGGTGGCATTCCTGGTGSCGTGTGAATGAGGCAGTGTTTTGTCCATGTTTAGTTTTGTGTCAGGCCTCGTCTSTGTGTGTGTGAGAAAATTCCCAGGAGTGTTTAACGGACGCGTGCGGACAAATCTCCTGCACGCCCCATAAAGCACTTTACTATGGGCCACTATAAAGCAGTCATTACAGAGCAATRTTTAAACTTCTGAGATTAACACAGTCTCTCAATTGCACTTACTTATTTTTATAATGTGTAATTTAGCAACTGAACTGTGAAAAGTTATGGCATAGCAAGGTCTTCTTAAAAACAGTGGTTCCAACTGTGCTTTTAGGTTGCTTCGTTGTAAATCTGGAGCAATTCCATTCTGTTACTTAAAAGAAAGGGGGAAAATGTGATCATTCCTGGGAGCTGCTCAGATGGTGWATGTGCATCTGAAATGTATTGTCAGGTGTTGGCATGGCACATTTTCCACATTTATGGAAAGCAAAGAGCTCATGTCTGATTTTTCAGAAGCCAGACTTGGATGTTGCTGTTCCCTCTATGCAGAACACTTTGGCATTTACCATTTTGTTTAGGGAGCTGTGCAATGGTATTTTTGCCTGGATGAAGGAAGTTTGATCAAGCCTCTGTTGAAAACCGGATGCTTTTTCTGTGGCTGGCACACATCTCGATAGCCATGAGATCCTTTCCTTCTACTTACCATTTCCAACTGAACTATCCCACGAGGCTATTTCAGAACACTTRTTTTCTTCCCAGCTCTTCCATGTAAATATACTGAATTGACCAGCAAAGTTTTGACCGTGACTGTCTTTGTTTTGCAAAGTTCTCTTGTAAACAGGCACTGTGGGGCTTCCCCAAATAGCCCCATCAGTGCAACTGAATGGGAGCAACAAAGGCATAGGAAATGAAATGTCCATTCCTTTTCTTATTCATGTAAATGATAGTTTATCAWACTGTTTATTAGCTCCATGTAGTCAGGATCTGTGATGGTTCTTAGGCTTTTTATTGCTTTTTTTTTTTCCTTTAATGAGCTGCAATAAAACATTGCCCTACCTGAGTACTGACTCAGTGCTGCGGCTTTCTCCAAATTTARTGTTATTATTGATATTAATTAGTCAACCCATGGCAAAGGCTGTCACCACAGCACAAAGCAGCCATGATGTATCTTTACCAATTGTTCTTTCTCTCTGCAAAATGTTCCTTTTTAAAACTATGTGGGATTCCTGGAATGAACAATTTCAAACTATGGTTTTAATAATGATATCTGGTTTCCTAATAATATCTCTCCTCAGCCAATGGGCAATGGTGTACAAAGGAACTGACAGTACACAGGTGTACAAATGTGAAGGTAAGGAATGGAGAAGTGAAAAGACTCTCCTTGGGTCCTCCCTTGGAGCAGCAGCAGGACCTAGAATCACAGAATTGTGGAAAATATGGGCAAATGCACAAGCAGATGGTTACTGCACGAGCACTGTGTAAGTGCCTGCTTGTAGGGAGGAATGGGGAGTTTAACACCTGTGTTCTCAAGGTCTGCAGGGCATTTGGTGCCTGAATCACTTGGCATCTCATATCTTGAACAGTTTCTTTGGAGGCTTTTCTACCTGAACAAGTGTGGAGRGTTTCTCTTAGTGGTGTGAGGTTTTAGTGAAGATAGCTGCTGTCAGTGTAGTTACACTGCTGCAAATCTGTTAATGACTTCTGGACTTCCTAWAGGAGTGATCAAAAATTAGTGGCCAGTTTTCTTCCATCTCTGGAAGTGGAAACAAGCAGAACTGGCACAGCTCTGATGTTGTGTGTGGAATTAGCAGRTTTGGAGCACAACTGGGTGGGAGTAATTCCTCTCCAGGGATACAGATCAATCTGTGGCTGGGAGGATCTGTGGTTCTCTGCTCTAGTAGCTCCTTCAACTGTTTTGTTTTCTGCTCTTTGTTGTCTACAGCCACCAAAGGTGGTGATCCAAGGGGAAATCACACGGTGTGTTCACTGACACCGTGTTCAGAGCTGTGAAACAGAACAGGTAGAGAAAAGGCCAAATGAGGATGTGTGATCCTCTGCTCTGTCTGTCTTCCTCTCTTCCAACAACACAGAAATGAAATGTTTCTCAAAACCAGGACATTCACCTTTCAAAAATTCTGACTGAGCTCCTCTTAGCTCAGCCAAGATCCCAGGTGTGTGCAGGAGGACTGGCCTGGGCAGAGAGAGCAAAGGCTGACAGACAATTAAAATTTCTAGCTATTTTTTTCTGCTCTAACTGCATTTTTTTTCTGGGTACAAATAGTTGATATGACTTTCATCAGCTGACATGAGGGAAAAGATGTAAGGTAAAGTATATTTTTGAGTTGGAAAATTTTATGTGTGCTTTTAGGGATTTGCTGCAGAAGATGATGTTTGGCCATGTCCTTAGGCACTATA